TATACAAATTTTGGTTGTGTTTACAAAATACCCCCGCCGCAGCAAACCTGCAGACTAAGCGAATTTCCATTTGATTTACACTGAAATGTCTACTTAAAAATATAACATTTATTCCCGATTTAAATAGTATTAGCATTGACTATATATACCTACACATAGTGTAGTGCGAGTGATGTGTCACCACAGCTGATCGAGAGTAGTTTTTGTTTTTGCTCAGCTCATTGTCTTTCATTCTGGATATTGTTGTAGTGACAGCGACGCATTGTATACTCTCTCCACTACTCCACTCTCCCGCCCCCTCACGGCCACACAGCTATCGTCTGATCGTAGCAGGAGGAGCTGAGCGCTGAGCGGTCGACTGCTCAGTACAGTACTCATCTACTCGTCTGCGCATGCGTCGAGACTGTTTCTAACCTTTACAGATAGATCGCACCACAAGCTAGCGCTGTTCTAGCGCTCCTAGCCAACAAATTGCTGGCGACAGGTCCACTATGGCTATGGGATGTCTTCTGTAGGTATATATAGTCAATGGTATTAGTTTAACAAGTACTTAGGTTTGCTGCATCAGGGAGGCAAAACTGTTTTTTTATGTTAATAGTTAGTAAGAAATAAAAACATTTTTCAAATTTGATCAAAATATGTTCATAAACAAGCAAACTACAACAGTTTACTTATTCTCCATAAGAATAACATGGGAATTTCAAATTTACAATTTTTTTGGAATTTTCTCCGTAACCATTAGGCGCATAATAACGCTTCAATATACTAAATTATTTGTTTTTTTAAGCTCTACAAAATGGTTTGGAAAGAAATTGCTAAATTTTATGTTTTTTGGGTAAAAAATGCGAAAAACCTATTTTTACCCCATAAAACCCCCCGTAAACCCCCGTCCCCATGGTCCGATCATGCTGGATCGCGAACTCGTTCGAATTAACGTATGTTTACACGTTTGTACCGAATTTCATCAAAATCGGATCATTTTTGCTCGAGTTATCGTGCTAACGGACACACACACACACATATATATATATATATATACAGTGTGACAAAAAAGTCTGGAAACGGTTTAATATCTTTTTTAACTGAATCCGTTAGAAAATTCAAACCTTTCACATCAACTTACATGTATGAAAACTACTTTTTCCAAGCATTGTAATTTTTTTACCTCTACCAGGGGACGACCCATGAGGAGTAGGTACATAATCTTTAATATAAGCATAGGTTGATATACACAACATTTTAAAGGGTTAGTCAAGTGGAGTTCATTGCCGGAAACCGCGTCCAAAAAGGTTCATCCGTTACAAAATGGCAGCTGTCCAAAGTTCTTGTGAAATATACCTGCACAGGCCTATATGGGCAAATACTCGTATTAAACATTAGCTTGAGAGCTTAGACTGTATTTTAAAGTCAACTAGCTCATAGACTAATAGTATTCAATCATCAAAACAAATTTAACCGGGTTTTAGATTTCCCTGCTAATGTTGACTATGAGTATTTACCAATACTAAGGCCTCTGCAGGTATATTCCGCAAGAACATTGAACTGCCGCCATTTTGTAACGGATGAACCTTTTTTGACGCGGTTTCCGGTAATGAACTCCACTTAACCAGACCTTTAAAATGATGTGCATATCAACCTATGCTTACATTAAAGATTATGTACCCACTCCTCGTGGGCCGTCCCCTGGTGAAGGTCAAATAATGGCAATGACTGCAAAAAGTAGTTTTCATACATATAAGTTGATGTGAAAGGTTTGAATTTTCTAACGAATTTAGTTAAAAAGATATTGAACCGTTTCCAGACTTTTTTGTCACCCTGTATATATACATATATATATATATAAATATATAAATATATATATGTATATGAATTTGAACGGATGGTGTTTTTGGTCTCTAGGGACCTCGAAGCGAAAAAAAAAATCGGTCCCGCGTCCAGGTCTTACCATGAGTACCACGGTAATAGCTTATTCCCTATATGGGAAATTCGCTAAAAAAGATGGCGATTATTTGTCACGATTCGAATATTAACCGAAGGGGTTTTCAAAAGGAGATGGAGCAAGTTATTTAAGTAATATTAATTCGTACCAAGTATCGAAAATATTGAATGCAGTGAGGTAATCAACCATAGTTTGTAAAGTACGCAATAGTCATATTAATATTTTATACTCATTTTTACCCATTTAATAAATTAACATTTTAATATTTTGATGGCACTACCAGCTAGTATCACTCTGATATCAACTATGGGATGAATAATTGTCGTAAGCCTTGAAAGCAACCGTCGATTGCAATGGGTTTCACTGATTTTTGATAAATAAAACTAACTATACTTAGTTTTCAAACTATACTATACAATACAGTACTTAATTATACCAACATGAACTAGACACGAAAAACAACCTTCCAAATTTACAATGGGATGTCTAATCTAGTTAGTTAGTGTGGTGGTGACATCAAAGTATTAAAATGTTAATTATTAAATGGGTAAAAAATGAGGATAAAATATTAATATGACTATTGCGTACTTTACAAAATATGGTTCTTTACATCACTGCATTCAATATTTCCGATACTTGGTGCGAATTAACATTACTTAAATAACTTGCTCCATCTCCTTTTGAAAACCCCTTCGGTTAATATTCGAATCGTGACAAATAATCGCCATCTTTTTTTTTTTTGTAAACACAACCAAAATTTGTATATTCAAATCTGTAAATCGTAAATTTAAAACTCCCATGCTATTCTTATGAATACGTTAACTGTTGTAGTTTGCTTGTTTATTGCTTTATTATGATCAAACTTGGAAAACTAGTTATTTGATACTGATATTTTACTAAAAAAAAACCACTATAATAACCTACCTGTAGCAGCAAACCTAGTTACCTGTTGAACCTAATTTTATTTATATACATTTAATAAAACATCCAATCAAATGGAAAATTGCTGAGTCTGCAGGTTTGCTGTGGCGGAGTTGTTTTACTCATAAGATTAAGTTAAATTTTAAGATTTTATAGTATCACACAATTTAACTAAATGGGATGAATTATCCTAAATCTTGAAAGTAAGCGTCAATTTCAATGTGTTTAACCTATTTTTGATAAATAGAAAAAAACTAAATATACTTAATCACAAATAACTAAAAAACCGTTGGGTTTATAGAAAGATGATAAATACAAAAAATGTGTATTTATAGATGGACTACATTTATTTAGCTTTTTCCTGTATCTCTAATAATAAAGTCACTATAGCGAAAAATACAGAAATTGGCCGCCATTTTCCAATATGGCGGCCGTAGCACAGCTACAATTTTAGGGGACTTTTAGTATGTTCAAAAGGAAGGTACACCCAACATCTGTACCAAATTCCCCGCCTGTGCTAATTTTTTTTGGGTCAAAACATATTTTATTGTACTAACATGGATTTTAAACACTGAGCTATAATAATTCTAACAACTGGAGGTAGCACTGAATGTCAAAGATGCGTGTCGCCAGCCGCCATGTTTGCGTGAGGTGGGTGTCATAAGAAGCCATGTTATTGCTATGACAAGAAAACTCACTGCTATACCAACCTAGTTATAAGAAGCCATGTTATTGCTATGATAAGAAAACCAACTGCTATACCAACCTAACAAAATCAGCGACACGCTATTGACAGACTTCTGCCATGACAGTGCTACCTCCAGTTATAATTTTAGCTCAGTGATTTTAAATTGTACACAAGTTGGTTCTATGATGTTAAGTAGCATTAAAAAGTTATTATGGTTACCAACAAGGTGCAGCACTATAAACTTTTTTGCACTGTTTTATCGTTTAGGTGCAGTGGTAGAACAGGCTATGGCAGATGTGCATACCGTAAATTAAAAGAACAAAATTTTCTTAAACCGTGTCCTCTTCCATTGCAAACGCAAAGCACGAGTATAACTGCAATAAGCATTTTATATACTTATACGCCAACCTCGTACGAAGAACGGGTACTCTGCTAGTTGTACTATACTAAAAAAAACAAACAGAATCAAATAAAAAATACTGTAGTTCATTCCAATAACAAAAAGGCTAAAATTGCCAAGCTACTGACACGGCACGGCCGCCTTTAACTCCAGGCATAGACTAACCAACACAAGTAGACTTCTCATCCCATTGTAAATTTTGAAGTACGTTTTTCGTGTCTAGTTCATGTACGTGACACATGGGCGCTAGTGTTGACGAAACTTTGTTTATATTATTTTAGGGTTAATTTCTTGATTTGTGCTTTACTGTTTGGTTATATAACTAGGGGACAAGTTATTGTTTATGATTAGATCGTATTATTTGGTTAAACGAGGTTTTAAATGGCTGTAATAACGGGAAACAAATTGTAAACAAAACACGACATCTGCAGAAAACCGTACAGAACTAACAATAAAATTGTCTTCAGCTGTTCCATAAGGATGAGAAATCTACTAAGGGAGTATGTTTTATCTATGCTCCAGGCCACGGCCTTCGAACTGGCATCGTCGCAAGTGGTGTTGTAACAGCTGTTTTTGTTTAGAAGCAGCTAATGGTATTTGTGTATTTAAAAAAGATTGGTTACTGGACTATGACAATATTGACTCCGCTTAAAAATGTACAGATATAGATTTTAATTCATATTGTTTCGGTTTTCAATTCTGTATGTTTTATTTTCAATATTTTAATAAATTTATGTTCATAAATTTAAATTTAAATCAATTAAGTGCGAATTAATGAGCTGATGTCACCTGTCTGCCATGTTATCTTATGGGACGTCTATAACTCAACAACACCACTTGCAACGTTGCCAATTCTACCAGGCCGCGGCCTGTAGTTAAAGGCGGCCGTGGACATGGCACCTAAAAATAACCAATGCTAGAAAGCAAAGCACAACAAACAAACAACGGAGATTTCAAATGAATGAAATGGATTTCGCAGCTATACACATAAAAATTAAAAGCTAGCCTCACTATAATATAATAACATAAAACTAATTCGTTTTAAGGTTATGTGTTGCACAGGTACAAACAAAAACAAGTTACACTTGTTTTAAACATAAATTTTTATATAGATAATACAGTTAATTTAATTTAATAATACATTCTGTAGTTATTGAATAACAATAAGTTCATTTAAAACCCCTAAAGTGGATTTCGATACGCTTGTAAGTTAAATACAATTAGGCTAACTTAGATTGTTAAATGTAGGCCTATTCAAATAAGTAAAATAATGAGCAAATTATCTAATAACAAAAATTGAGATCAAACAAAGATTTTCTTAATAAACTCAACGATCTTTCCCACAAAGTATTGAAAGGGTTTCTTAGTTTCCACCACTAACTTATGTATGGAATGGATAGAAACCCATTGTTAAGTTCTTGTTGGACTAACTGTGTAACTTATAAGTTAGTGGGTACAACAGTCTAGGACTAGGGAGTAGGGATGAGCATCAATAGTCACTGTTTTCGCAACATCAATGTATTTCTATCGATGTTAGGTTAGCCTACCAATGTTTTCGTCGAACATCAATGTTTTTGGCCAAGTACCTATTGAAATGTTTTCCATAACTGAAAGTATTACAAACGGATTACGGTAGGTATCTTATTAATTTTGATGAAATTGTACCGGTAAGTTAAATTTTGGTCCTAACAAGAAATTGTTATTTTATTTATCATACCGGTACTGTATTTGAATGCTGATGAAATTTCGAATAAAAAAATAACGCAAACTGTACCGGTACTAAGTTAGACTTAGACAGGTGAAGAGTGAGTAAGTTTCTGGATTAGCCTACTTGACACTTGAAGTCTTCATCTTTGACTTTAACCAGCATTTCTTTTTTTTCCAAAATAACAAATAACACATTGTATTGGAAAAGTCATAAAAATAAACAATAGTAAAAACTGAAAAATTCTTATCAAGGTAGGCTAAATAATATGTACAAAGACTAACAATTTGATTTTTGGTTAATCTTTAATCTAACAAGAATGACTGACTACATGTCAGCTGAGAAATCGCGGACGCTGTAGCAAGTCTTTTCAACTAATATGCTTTTCAGTTGTTTTCTGAACTTAAGTAAATCAGTCTCTAGCTTTAGCTGTTGGGGAAGTTGGTTAAACAGTTTAATGCCGTTATACAAAAGATGTTTTTGAAAAAATGAGGTTGAATGGACAGGGATTTTCAGGTTGTGAGATGTGCGTAAGGAGTATGCAAATATATTAGGATAGTTTAGATTTAGTGACTTGAGTTAGTTTGAAAACCATGTAAGTTATTATGAAACTCGCTCGTAAATAAAGGCCTTTTTATTTATTTATTTATTTATTTGTGTACTGCAGTTAGTGCTGGTGTTAAATATTGACTGGTGTTTTTTTACAAAGGAAAGGGTTTCAAGGATGTATAGTGAGGGAAGAGTCAAAATAGCAGCTGACCTAAATGATTCCTTACAAGATCGTCTTTTGAAAAGTGAAAATATGACACGAATGGTTTTTTTTTGCATTTTAAAAAGGAAGGAGGTTTGTTTGTTTTCAGATCCCCAAACAGGTAGAGCATAAACTAGATAAGGGAATATTAAGCCATAGTACACAGAAAGAAGAACTTCCGTCGAGGCTGTTGTGGCCAATGTTCAAAGTACAAAGATGCCTGTGCTTGCACGTTTTATTACGTAATCAACATGAGTTTTGAAATTTAAACATTCATCTAAATGAATGCCTAAGAATTTTACAGACTGTACGGGATGTATAATGGTTTCATCGAGAAGAATAGACAGATTCCGATCTTTGTTGGACCTGTTTGAGACTCGAAAGTTGATTAGCTGGGTCTTTGAATTGTTGGTTTTTAGAAGGTTATCATCAAACCACTGAAGCAAGGTATTCGCCTCGAGGAATGCCATTTGCTCGAGTGACTCTAGGGAAGGACTGGATAGTGTCAGGGAGGTATCATCTGCAAAAAGGCACAGTTTACCTTGAGCTACACATTTCCTGGTTTTAATGGGACAATGGTTTGTTTGCTTACAAGGTCGATAACTACAGGGTACTTGTGAGGTGCTTGTTCTAAATGCTTGTCTAAAAAACAAATTAATATTTTTTTATAAATTTTAGTGGCAGCACTCTAGCTCTCGAGCATAAATTAATACCGATATTTCGTCTTGCAAATGTGAAAGAGAAACAGCCAATCTAAAATGTCTAGCTAGCAGGGTAGACTAACTTACACAAAGGAGTGTGTTTAATTGATGCTAGGCTAGTAGAATATGATAATAAACTTAGCATTAATTAAACTGCACAATTATCTTATCTGAGGCAGTACGGTACAGAGAGTAGACGAAAAACTAAAAAAAAACAAAAACATCGATTAACATCCATGTTTAAGCTCCAAACATCGATGTTTTATCGACAATGTTATCGGTACATCGATGGTTGAAATCTATGGTTAACCTATTGATGCTAATCCCTAGTAGGCCTATAGTTAAGTAGTTAGGTCTATCTGACCTAATTTTACCTAATTATCTAACACCATTCGGTAGCCCCGGGCCTCTAAATTACACAGCTACTGGTAGCCTAAGTTAGTTTTTTTACATCAACCTTTTAATCCAATGTAAGTTAAGTTACCTCTTTTTAATCTGCGCAAAAGTACAGTAAATCGTGATTTTGATCTATTTTATCACAATTACGGTAGGCCTAAGTTTACTTATTGTTGTGCAAATTGTTTGTAAAGGTGACTCTCCCTTCTGTTGATTTACATATTTTTTCTTACCTCTATGCCTCCACAAAGCATATAGGCTATAAGTTATTAGTGAGCCTGAAGGATGGAACAGAAACTCTATTATTACCGGTACCAGTCACTTTCATTCATGGATTTAGGTGTGTTTTGCCTAGGTAATCACCATCTAAACTATGTAGGCCTATTCAGTTACTACCAGTTGGTTTTATAGACAATAGACAATATTCTTTATTAACCCTTCCAGGGCTATGGACGGATATATCCGTCAATCTTTGTTTACTTTCCGGGCTAAAAACGGATATATCCGTCCCGAGAAATTTCTATTCTGGGCTTAAGACAGATCCGTCCAAAAAACAAATTGATATACAATGTTTATAATACGGTAATAAACATTACACTGCATTATAAATGGGTTCTTTTGTTTTTGTGGTTGGCAATAATTATTATTTTTTTTTTAAAGAGGTTGGCGGCCTCTTTTAACCTTGCATTTGCCCGACATAGACTAAGCACCCGTGCGTGGATCGTTTACAGCAAAGCAAGGAGTGAGCCGGTACAGTAAAAAGGTGAACTGTACTGATAAAATGTTATCGGCAGTGACCAGGATCCGAACCCACGACATCGCTGCCTTGGGCCCGAAGTCTGTGACGCTACCGACTGAGCCACCGACTCACTATAGATTGCCACGGCTGTTTCGGCTATTTTGCACCATAGAGTGTGCATAAGTAAATATTGCTGTCACTTCCCACATGGTTGTTAGTGAGTGATGTTTACATTTTGTGTTTTGTACTTTATTTTTATGTTATTGAGCTAAAGCTATTAATGCAATCTATATGAAATTTGAAAATGTCAGTTATTGAGATGCTTAATGAAATGTATGTCCGAGAGGGGTTTTATACTTGGCAGTGAAAATAATAGTATGGAATGTGATGGATATGATAAACCTGAAGAACAGTCTTTACATAGTGGAAGTCTTGGCGGGGAATGGGATTGAGGGCATGGGAGCGGAACTGAGTGGCTTAGATTTACTTGAAAATGATAGATACATTTTTATGGATAAAAAATAAAACAAGGGAAGGAATAGCCTAAGGTTGACGGATATATCCGTCTGCCGCCCACAAGAATACTCAAGATTATTGGTAGTGTTCATATTTTGTGATTGTCACTGAGGGCGTCAGACAGATATATCGGTCCACCTTGTTTTTTGTGGGCCAAAGACGGATATATCCGTAAAATCAAATTTTATTTTCTTCATAACTTTTGTACAAAAATTAGTACACCCCAAAGGAAAATCTTTTTATGATCCATGAATTATTTCAAGTGAAATAAATACAAAACACAACCACTTTAGTTTTTATTTTTTGTCAAAAAATTATTAAGCTCCTGCCCTTCATTTAATTTAGCCCTGGAAGGGTTAACATATTCATTGAGAAAAGTTTCATAGTTACAGGTGGATTACAGAAACATTACATATTTTAAGGTCATGCGATGAATTCTTTTTCAATGTAGAATGGTCTCTCTAGTAGCTAGTCTGTGAGTAATTTCTTGAAAGCGGCTGACTTATTCCGATGTTTAAGTTGGTTGTTTTGGAAGGAGGTTGTAATGTTTAGATATTGAATATTTAAAATAGATTACAGATACCCTACAAAAAAATGGGATCAGAAGAAGAGAATCGTGGAAAGTCAAAGTTCATGATAGCCCTCCCACTATTGTTACTGCTGGTCTCGATTCCTTTATCATTAACTCTATGGCTTGGAAATATGGCTTTCTCGGCTTTTTGGGAAAGTGAGAGTGGTAAGTGTTTGTCAGAGAAATCCATTACGGTAGCCTCTTTAGGGCCTATGCATTAATACATGTCTAGGCTAACTAAAATCTTACAGAAAATTATCTTTTATGATTCGGTTTGTTTTTATCAAAGTTAATTGACGATGTTTTTTTTTTATTTAAAAGTTATCTAGCCTAATTAACAATATGAATTAGGCCTAAACAACATTTTACTAGGTAAGTTAGGCTTTTATAGTATCCATGAAATTTTTATGAATACTCTTAAGAATATTTAGGTACTTAAGCAATATGTAGGTAGGAACTACTACATAACGAAAAAAATGCAACGATTTCTAAGGTTGGTCTACCTATGCACAGTATTCAGAAATCAGAAATCTATTGTATCTATTTTAGCCCTAAACAAAGTATTTTTCAAGGTAAAAAACAAAACAATGAAGATAATCTAGTAATTTGCTAGTACCGTTCGGTAGCCTACATTAGACCATTCCAAGTAGCCTTTACTTGTTAATAGACTTTTGAGTGTTACTATTAAAATTCGTGGAAAGAGAAAGAGCCTCAGTCCAATTTGTTGAAAAGAGCAGGAAAACAGAAAGAGAGGAACTCAGTCCTGGACTGAGGCATTTTCTCTTTAAAATACTAAATTGAATTACTCTATACCTCCATGGTTACTAGTGGGACTATACCTCCATACTAGCGTCTAGATACTCAGAGCAACGAGTCGGCTCACCGGAGCAACAGTCGGGGCTGCACAATTTTTATTTCAGCTGCAGTTTTTTAATACGGGCAAAATGAGAGTTTAAATTAGAAATTTAAAATTAGAGTTAAATTAGAAAAATATAAAATTAATTTTTTTTATTATAAAATTAAACTGTCATAACCTAACCTAACTAACCAAACTTGCTGATAATGAAAAAATTGAATGAAGGTTTACTGATCGAAAAAATAGTTCTGTTCATAAAATAAAACTATAAATGCCTCAAATTCAATTTTATAAGGTTTTAATTATAAAATTAAACTGTCATAACCTAACAAAACTAACCAAACTTGCTGATAATGCAATAATCTTAGACAAAAAGTTTATGCCATTGATGGGATTCGAACCTGGTACCATCAGATTCTCAGCCCAGCACGCTATCCATTTGACCACCGAGGCCGATGGCTCCAACTCGTATCGTTGCGGTAATAGTGTTCCCTCAGCCAATAGAATGCTCTCATTTTGTCTTGCTCCGGTGAGCCGACTCGTTGCTCTGAGTATCTAGACGCTATAATACCTCCATGGTTACTACATAGTGGGACTGAGTTTTTTTCAACATAATTTTTTGCATACGGTATGTCCAAAGAATTTTTGGGCTTAACCCAATTTCGTATTTTTTGTGAATGAGGCCCTTTCTTGGTCTACAGGTTACTCTAGTGTTTTAATCTTGTTTTTAAAACTACAGTATAAGTATTCCAGCCTATTAAAAGCTTTACTAACCTAAATCCTAGTCATTGTTAAATTTTTTTAACTAGCTTGTACTTTGCAGAACCAATATCACCTACGAGATGGCTATTTTCAGTCATAACACCAATTTTATTTGCTGCCTACGGTCTGAAGAAAAAAAGTTTAAGTGTCAGTGGAGCAGTTTTAGGTGAGTTATGCTTAAATACACAGTGCTTGATTTGTAAAAAAATGAGGTGCTGGAACTGTAACCGATTTAACACGTTAGCTGCCACGTCACCCCGATCGGGGTGCCACCAGTTGGCTCGTATGTGAGCACTGTCACCCCGATCGGGGTGACAGTTGTAATTTGTAAGGGGTTTTTTCTTTGCCGCTATTTGACAGTCTTTGATGTTCAACGGCAGTCAAACATTGTGGCTTATAAATACATACTCCAAGCTAACTAGATATCAATATTATATTGCATTCTGATGTTTATAACATGTCCAAACTTACGTCACAAAGTACTGAAATGTTGTCACCCCGATCGGGGTGACGCTATTTTTTTCAACAATTTTATCTACTCTTTATTGAAATATGTACCATAAAATGACGTAACGTTTATCTTATTCAGTTGGTGTTTATATTTTATACCCGGGTTTTTTGTATCTTATGACTGAAATTATGTCCTTAACCAAAACATAAAAGTAAGTATTTGGGTTATAGGCTACTGATGAAAAACAGATAAGAAAGAAAACAAACAAATTTTTTAAATCTTTTATGTCAAACTGTAAACAATATAACATTGCTAAAAAAACTAAATATATGTATAATAATGTACAAAACATGACCATTGTCGCTGTGCTCGCTCTCTGACATTGACAGGAGGGTAGGTTGAAAGTCAGGGTCGATGTCCATTTCGTCGTCCCTGTCTGACTCATCACTGTCTTTAGCACTACCTCCCAAAAAACCATCACTCAGATCTCCAAAATCTAGTTCACTTGACATTGGTAAACCCAAAAAAACGTTTGATATCTTCATCATCAAGATTCTCACTCATATTGGACAAAAGCCACAACACACTATGAAAACCAACACGAAAACTAGGCTATAAATAGCTAAAAAGTACAATACAAGAAGAAGTAAACATAACACAGTCGAGTAATAAGCAGGTGTTGTTGTCTTCACACGCCAAAATGCCGCTAATGCCAACCGAACAAAATGAAATACATCCCAAATGGTCGAATTTCAGTGTCACCCTGATCGGGGTGACAGCGATTTTTTCCAGCAAAGTTTGACTGAAAACAATCACTGTCACCCCGATCGGGGTGACACTTTTTGAGCATATAGTTGGCAATTCAACAATCCCCCCGGAAAATAGCCTTGGCTGCTAACGTGTTAATATGATTATAGTACATTTATGGATGAATTTCAAATTGAGAGAGAAAATGAAAACAGAAAAAATAAAAAATATTATTTTGTACATACATACTTTATTGACCCAATAAAGTGTTACATTACAATACAATACAATACCATACAATATTCTTTATTGTTCATTCGTTAAGAATTACAATAGTGTCAATACAATAGTGAATTGTACATGTTAATTTCCATAATTTTCATAACCATAGCAGAGCTTAAATGTACCGGTAAGTGTTTCTATTTTTTTACGAATATTTGTCTTATCAACTACAAAGACAACATCAGGTCACTAAAGTTTTTAAAAGTCCGGAAAAATAGTAAATTCTACTGTAAATTAAAATAAAAACAATGTATATAAACATTTAACTTGTTTCCTGAATAATGCATCCATCAAATAATTAAAATTAATTTTTTGTATTAATTGTAAAAATAAAACATTAATAATAGGAACAATCTGAAATGTACACATTTTTGATTAACATTTTTTAATATTGAATGTAATACAATTTTTTTCATAGGTACTAATTTTTAAGGCTGGGCGCACATTGTTCCAGCATTTCACCTGAAGCAAAATGTTGCACAACGATTTGCTTGAAGCGTTTTGTTTCTTTACTTCTCCAGTGTGCGGAAGGTCCAAGCATGATTGAAAATTTGGTTTCATGAAAAAATAAATATTATTTTTACTGGTCCTCTACTACAGTATTGTTTTAACAAGTGTGACGAGGAAGTCAACGTAGGCCTAACTATTGCTGCACCTATGTCAGTTTTTGCAAAATGCTGGACTAAATAGAAAGAAAACATGATAGACAGTAAGGTTTTCCTCTTAGAAATTAAATCAGATCCAGGGAAATTCCACCCAGGATTGAAGATCATCTCAAACATCCGTTAACTAGTAAACCAGATTTTAATGGGAGCTAACCCCCTTCCCACAGATGTTTTTCCTCCCACAATACCATACACAGACGATTTTATCTGGTATTTTCGTTCACCGTAGACTTTTATATTTTATATCTTTACTGACACTCAGGAGTTTGGTGCTTCTCATATCTTTTTTGCAGTGATTTTCTATGTAAGTTATACTGTTTAGGGCTATCAGAATTATTTTTGGGATTCAACAAACAGATTTTTGTAAGCCATCTTTGAAGAGGTTAAAACTTCTCACATTTCCCTGTATTGTCATTTATAAACGCTTAATTTTCTCTTAACAAAACCAGAATATCATCTAGATCTTCGTTCCAAAATCAACCTTCAAAACCATTCCAAACTGAATATTCCTAACCATACCATACCACCCCTTAAAAAAAAAACATCACTCTTTCTCCTGAATTTTTTCACAATGCTCATCCCAAGCCACTAAGTAGCAATTAGCAGCAAATGTAATACTAGTTTTTCAACCTTTATACTAGTCTATAAACAAATACAATAAGACTATTTTGTCAAAATCTCTGGCAAAATGAATTAGTTACCGTATGCTTACTTTAAATGAACAAAAACTCTTTAAAAAAAAAACATGAGACTTTCATCTTAAGATTTTAACATACTGCTAACTTTAAATGAACAAACATAAGTGTGTATTTAATTCTTGAGCCAAGTTTTTGCTTAAATTGAACACATACAGCTGTAACCACATCAATTTTCATTTATAGGCAATTTAACTCATTTTTAAAATCCTACAACTTTTAAATCCTAAACAGTGTGTTTTAACTTAGCATAATAATAAAAACAGAGTTTTGTACTATATTGCGGGTTACTATTTTATATTATACAACCAGTATAAACATACATTTGTGTGATTGTTGCAGGCCTGGTGGTGGGCTTTGTGCTCACACTCAGCAGTTATTTGTTTCTGATTTGTCTCATTGTGTTTTTCATCACATCAAGTCGAGCAACAAAATTCCGGAGTAACCAGAAACGCAAACTCGAAGAGGATTTTAAAGAAGGTACCGTACCTAATGCTTAAATCTGGTGCCCTGGCTAAATACACACTCTTTTAGGAATGGATTATAAAGCACCATATTGAAATGGCAGGGTTGGTTGGTGCATTCTAAGTGATTGGCTTTATGAATACTCGTAAAAGATGATTTTATGGTTGATATAACGTTGTTGTTGACTTTAGACCAGATTGATTCTTTTGCAAAGTATTTAGGAGCGCTGCCTTAGGGGTATGCCTCAGATTTATAAAGCATATTTTTCTGTTTTATCATAAGATATCATATATATATAGAAAAAAGATAATCCGGTTGACATTAGTTCATTTTCAAAGATTTTGGTTGTAGGCCTGTAATAGTTTTGCCTACATACCTGTAAAAATGCAAACTTGATATGCGAACAAACTGCCATTCTGAATATAATAAGATTTCAACTGACTGTGTTTACAAGAATCCCTGTACACAGAGCGGTCACACTGCTAGTAAGTAAATAATAATAATAATAATTACACCAAAAATCTTCAGTTTCAAAACTTTTGTGTGGTACAGTAGAGTCCCGCAAACTCGGCACTCGATAACCCGGCAGTCTGGATAACTCGGCCATCACCTGGCTCAGAAAATTAGTGATTTTTAGAGTCTGAGTTAAACATGGACTCAAGCCAGCTCATACACATAATTCACAACTCATACCAAGGATGTGTTGTACTGTATCTGATGACTTAATACTGACTTGTAATATAAATATAAATAAAAAAAGGTGGTTACAAGGCTTAAAAATTGTATTGTGTTTATATTTAACCCTAGTTCCTGATAACCCGGCATTTCACAAACTCGGCACCCTTCCAGTCCACATTACGCCGAGTTTGCGGGACTCTACTGTATTAAAATTGCTTGATGATGGCAACTGATACATAATTTGCTGATCTGCAGGAGGACAGCGCAACTGGGTACAAGTGTTGTGCAACAGTGGCATGGCGTTACAACTCGCTCTACTCTACATCCTGGACTCTGGCTGTGGAGAGAGACCAGTAGACTTCTCCTCGGACTACCGAGCCTCCTGGCTGGCACTCGGTGTTCTAGGTAAGCTAGTGTAAGAGTGACAGAAATCTTCCCTTCCTGTGAATACATATACAGTCCACTCTTGGTAATTCAAACACTTGATAATTCAAAACTTTCGATAATTCAAAATGAAGGCTCAGTCCCTAGAGAATCTCTCAATATTTCAAATTTTTACCATGCATTTTGATACACTCGGTATTTCAAAGTCCAAATAGAGGGCAGGTCAATTTGTAACACGCAGTAATTCGAAGTTTCGTCGAAAAAACACTCTATAAATCAAAGTCACGCAGTAATTCGAAGTTTAGTCGGCAAAACACTCTATAATTCGAAGTGATCTCTTCCTGTTATAACAGGAAACTATACAGTTCAGTACATCCTGTTCCCATGGTAGGCTAGTGTTGGACGTTTTGATGTTTTTTTAGTTAGAGCAGTAGTCTGAGTTAGTTCGCTGACTTGTTTTTCTAAGTTGGCAACCCGATCTCTAGATTGCGCGACATCTCCTTGAGCACAAACGTAGTTGTCGACAGCTGATAGTTCAGCTATTGGCGAAATATATAGCGCTAAATAACAGATTTCTTTGCAACTACAGTAACTGAAAAATAAGCCGTTGATTGTTTAAAAGTGTACTAAAATACGGTATGATGTTTTATTGTAACGTGCTGTACCTTTGTATGTATTAAACAAACAAACTCTCTGTAATTCGAATGGTTTATTTTTCTCCCGATAAATCAAACTCTTGATAATTCAAAACTCTTGATAATTCAAATTGATATGCTTGGCCCACCAATTTCGAATTATCAAGAGTCTACTGTATCGGACTAGATCCAACAGCAATTTTTGAGATGACTGTACAAAATAACAAATGCCATGGTGAGAAATGATGCTAATGCAAATGTACACCCCGCTTGCCACTTTAAATGATTCTATTCATACAGAATTATGGTTTCAGCCAAAAAAATTATATAACATCTTGAATGCAACCATTGTTTTATGACAAATTGCCCCTGCATCCATTCCTAGGTATTGTACCAAGAGCTTTAGCCTTGATCCATACTGGGGTATGGATCAGATGATGAATGAAACAATTGTCTTATGATCCATTGGCGTTATATCCAATGTTAATATGTGGAAAAATTTCCAGAGATATTACATAGAAATAAATAGATTAATTCCTTTCTTGGTCAGTGTTTTAGACAGTTCAAATATACCGTATGTTTTGTTTAGTCAACGGTTTTTTAGACAACAGGAATCACAGTGACCTTACTGCTTTACTTGAGTTTTGGATACCACACAAATAGCAACACATTTGATTAAAAAAGCTGTTATATTAAAGAAATAACAAATAAACATCTTTAAGGTTACTTTGGTCAAGAAAAGGCTCTGGCTAGGCCATGATTGTGATTCTAGAAGGATCAGCTAGCTTTCCTGAGGAAAAACTCCTGGTAGGTCATAGTACACACAGATGGACAAAATAACAGGTTTTTAAAATTACTAATTAAGTAACACTAAGAAACATTACCTAAATAGAGAGTGTTTGATTCTTTTAAAGAATCATCTTTAGAATATTATGACACCACTCTTTAGACTCTGCTTATTGATTGTTTTCCTAGCGACTTGTGCTTAAAAGTTTCTCCAAATTGTGTTCAGGCTCGCTGTCTTGTTGCAATGGTGATACGTGGGCGTCGGAGCTCGGGGCTGTGGTGGGTGGAGGACAGCCTCGTCTCATCACGAATGGACGACCAGTGCCTCGTGGTAACAATCCATACGTTATTTGCTAATCCTTAAGCTATCTAAGATATAATTTTCATATGCTATGACAGAGAGCATAGGCTTGAGTAAAGAAGTAACAAAATAAATTAGGCATAATTTACATTATTAGTGGAAAAATATACAACATTTTTTGGTTTATTTGTTATAGTCCTCAATTCCACCTAATAAAAAAAACAATTTTGAGATAGTCCAATGGAATTACTTTTAGTTTTAAGTTTTAAGTCTCAATATGTTATTAGTTTCATGGGGTTGATTTTTTTGGATCATGTAAATGACTGTAAAAACCTGATTAACCTAAATAAAGGGAGCGAGGCCGTTTCGGCTAACCTATTTTTTTCTCTGATTAGTGAACCGCTAAATATATTGTTTCAGATGATCAAATATACATTTAGTTGAAAAACTGTTAATTCCTTTTATTCTATGTATTTTTGAATTCTATGCTGTTTTATTATTCATGTAGTAGGCCTAATCAACTACTTCTAGTCTAATACATCTAGGCATACTGATGTTTTCCTCGACTAAATAGATTTCCTGAAAAATACCTCAACTATTAACAGGTTCAATAGTTTTTGTCTTTTATATCTCTTGTATTTTCCACCATCCACTCTTCTGTTCCAGGCACCAACGGAGGTGTGTCTCCACAGGGCCTCCTGTTCAGTCTACTGGGAGGTCTGGTGGTGGGGGTAGGCTACTACGTGGGATTGTTATACCTGGTAGATACTACGTCACTGGTTCGCAGTCCACCTCAGTGGCCTGTCATCCTGTGGGCTGCTTTTGCTGGTCTCTTTGGCAGTGTTGTAGACTCACTTCTTGGAGCTACAGTCCAGTTTTCTGGTAAAAGTTGATATTTAACTAATTAATTGTGATTGTTTGCCTGTGACGTGTTCTTATCCAAAGGTAAAGAGTGATTGTTTCTGGAACCTTTTCCATATTTACGACTACCACTACAGGGCTGCTTTAATAATTGGGCCTGGGACTAGGAGCGCAAGAGGTTTTGGGTTTGTTGGGGGTGTAAGGAAGAGATAATCCTCACGCAAGAAAGGGGGAGGGGGCGCAGTTATCTCTCAGGCCCATAGCGTGTCACATACAAACCGCAGGTACTACTATAAAGTTTGTTTGTCAACACTCCAAGTTTATTACTGTCTGAATTTGAAGTTTTAGGTTATGTCTTGTTTCTAACCTAACCGAACCATAAAAAAGGATTTGTAGATAACTATAAATCTTCATCCTGAAACACATAGGCCTAGTAGTAGTCATATAACGGAAACGGTCCAGTTCTTGTTACAGTGTAAAATACAAACACTTTTAACTACCAATATTTCATAAATACACAATAAAAAATGTGAGAAATTTAAGGAGAAACAATACCTAAGAAACCACTGTTAATAAACTGTCACCCACTGACTACTGACGAGGTCGTGTTATATATGTATTAATTACAGTATTCTATAATTCATCGTCAAACTTGTACAGGAGGGTAAGACTATCGTAAGTTGTGGTAGTGTTATCGTAAGTTAAATTAAATCTATTTTTAACAAGACAAATACGGTACTGTATTAGATAGCTTTAACAATAAATTAACATTCACTACAATCAGAATGTTTACCAACAAAAACTAAATAAATAAGATTCTAATACCATATGTTGTCAAACACATATGACTGACAACACAGTAATCACAATCTGACTACTATATCTATATAAATAAAATTTGAGTTTTGTCTGTACATTGCTCAGAATAATAAATTTGTAGGCTATTTTTACGTTTTATACATTAAAGAAGCCGAAACAAGTCTCATCTAAATTTCTGTCTGTCTGTCTTTCTGTAACACTCAAGATGGCATTTTACGCAATCTTCTCCAGGAAAACGAGAGTACATATCAAGATCCAAGTCATTTTAATGTATTCACTGGATTGGCGAGAGTGTCTTTAGCCATTAAAATGTGGCCTCACTACTTAGGCCACATTTTAAGGCGCCACTAATCCTAATTAGGCCACTAATCCGAACGCCTCATTGCTGTACTCTATATACAGTACAGTAGTTCTTTATTGGATACTGTAATAATAAAAACTACAATAATAAAGCAGCCTCCCTGACAGCATGTAAGTTTTACTCCTATCTCACTGGGGAAAAAATAATGTTGGATAAGTACTTCATGAACATCGAATCTCCCCAACAACAAAACTCGTTTGACTGTGGTTTGTTTGTTGTCTCAATGACAGAACACATTATTGATCATCAATTGAATCCACGTGAATTAGACATCGTGGAATTGTCAAAATCAATTAGTTTTACAGAGACAGACATGATAACTAAAAGATCTCACATCGCATATATTTTTCTAAACTACAGCAAACTAACAGTTAAAACCATTTCATCTCTAATGCGAAAAAATACTGGAACTTTTAATCAGGAAGCTTCTACAAAACAAAAACACAAGAGTATTGAAAGTACCATTGTAACAACAAACAGGTTTGCAATATTTGAAAATATAGAGAATGAACCTACCTCAAGCCTTGAACCGAAGCATGTAGGTAAATATAAGGAAGACTCAAAACAAGCCACAAGAAAAAAGAACAATAAGTCTAAACAACTTGAGGAAACAAATAACAATACATTAAAAGGACCATCGCAAGAACTAAATGGCAATAATGAAACAACTACTATAAATGATGAAGAAAAAAACATCTGTATATTCGCTGATAGTCATGGTCGACAAATAAATCAAATTCTATCATCAAGTCTGCCAGAAAAATACAAGCTATATGTAAATACAGCACCTGGAGCTCCTTTGGAATATGTAATGAAAAATGCAGAGGAAAATATAAAAAGAATGAAAGGAAATGATGTAACAGTTTTAATTGCTGGGTCTAATAGTATTGAAAAAATGCTGGAACAAAAATGTGACCCAACTGACAAAATACCAGAAGTTTTTGACCACTTTTCAGCAGTTAACAAACATACTAATGTTTTAGTAGTTCCACTTTTTCACAGATTTGACCTTCCACCTCAACACATCATAAATAAAACAATTAGGAGAGTAAATTTTACTTTGAGGACAACAGACATAAACATAGTTGACTGCAGACGCTTAAGAAGGACCCACTTTACCCTGCATGGACAACATCTGAATAGGGAAGGTAAACATGTTTTGAGTGAAGAAATTCTGAAGGAAATAAAATATAACAAGCTAAATTACACAAATCAGCTCCCTAAAGAGATCAAAGTTGTTGAGGCCAACATGAACCAGCTATTTGATGATTTTAGTAAATGTGAGAGCCTGGCCTTCTCCCACTGTATATCGGCAGATCTGACAAGTGAAAGGAATATGACGGCGGGAGTTGCTGTGAAATTCAGAGAAAGGTTTGGCAGGCCTACCAAGAGTGACTACTGTGATGAACATTTGGTTTACCAGAAAACCAACGAATCCTCTGTCTACGGCTTAGTGACGAAACCAAAATACTATGATAAACCAAAAACAGAAGTGTACAATGCTGCTTTCCAAGAACTAACAACTGACTTTACCAGGCGATCCTTTAATAAGCTGATTTGCTCACCAATGGGTTGTGTGCGGGATGGAGTACCACTGAAACAATTTGCTGCCAACATAGTCAACTTTCAACGGAAGACTAAAGCTACTGTCATAGTAGTAGCCTACTACCAATCCTCTACAAGAACACTGTTCAATGGTTACTCATACAAGGACTTTATACACAAACTGAAAGACTCCATCTCTGAACAATATCAACAGAAGGTGTTCGATGAGTCATCTCACATAACCATCAACTGTAGTCAAGAAACCATCAAAACTCGTGAAGAGGATGCAGTGAGCGAACATCAGCCTGTCTCACCTACCACGACCAGCCCCCCCACGGTCCCTGGAGTCCTTGACTACAGTGAAGTAGTGAAAATGTGTGATCGTGTTAGTGGTGAAAAGCAGAGCACTAGTGAAATCAGTAACGTCTGTAGTACAAATCATTATAGTGTGTCAGTGTCCTCCGATACCATAAGTCATAGTAATACGCATTTTTTGTCTCAGAGTCCTCACCATTCACCCCCTCCGGACGTCCCTTAACTATTCCATCTACAATTACCCTACCACCTCATCACACACCCTATCACATATCCTACATAACTGGACCACCTAATCAACCACCTAGAAACCACCTCTCTCAAAGTCCACCTCAAAAATGTAATTATCAAAGTAAGTCTATAGTTAAATTATTCCATCAGAATATTGAACATTTGAAATCCAAAATTGAGGCTTTGCAAATAACTTTGAATGAAATAAAAGCACATATTGTTATCTTGACAGAACATGATATGAAAGAGGAAGAAATTGAGCGCTTAAATATAGAATACTATTCTGTAGGGTCATATTTTACTCGGAAGCTGTCACGCAAAGGTGGAGTAATGTTACTATCTACCAATGATATGAAACAAAAAATAGTTACAATTCCTGACTCTTTGAAAAATAAATTAATAGAAGAAAAACAGTTTGAATTTTGTATATGTAAATATTTAATTAACAATTTTGAAATAGTAGTTGTAGCAGTTTACAGATCCCCTAAGTCAAAAGCTGAAATATTTTTAGACAGATTAACTGTACTTTTAGAATTTCTGAACAATAAGTTTAAGTGTATCATTGTTGCAGGAGATATTAATATAGATGTGCTTGTTAAATCTAAGGAACACACTATGTTAAAAAATATGCTAAAAAGGGTAAATATGGAGTACTTGGTAAAATTTCCCACTAGGATCTCTAAAATATCAAAAACAGCAATTGACAACTTCCTTGTCACAAAATCTCAAAGCAGCCTCATGAAAATAAACGGCATAATAACCTTATTGTCTGACCATGATGGTCAATGCTTAGAAATAGCTTTGCCAAAATCGAAATCTGTAAGGGAAAATTTTATTTTCCGGGACCAAAGAATTTTTAGTGAAGAAAACATTAATCTGTTTAAAAAATTTCTATCAGATGAGTCATGGGCTGAAGTAATTCTTTCGCCGGCTAAAGATAAATACAATAATTTTATAGACAGTTTCATGTACCACTTTAATACAGCTTTTCCTATGAAAAGAATAAAAAAGAAAACAACACAAAAAAACAATTGGATTTCCCTACAACTTAAAGAAGAAAAGAGTACACTAGTTAAACTAACACGGGAAAGCAGAAGTAAAAAAGATAACAATTTGACAGAAATGTTAAAGCAAAGATCTTTGAATTACAAAAAAAATGTTAAAAAGGCAAAAAGAGATTATTTTGACAGTAAAATAAAAAAATCTAATAATGTAAATAAAACAGTTTGGAATATTATAAATTCCGAAGTGGGAAACACAATCCATAAAAATAATCAAAATATTAATTTAGTTCATAATGGAAAACATTACTGTAACCCAACAGATGTATCAAATATATTTAATGATTTCTTTGTAAATGTGGTAAAAAACAACATTGATTTATCTCAAATAAACAATTGTACAGATAGTAATGATGAAATATTAGATTCTGCCAAATGGGAAATGAAACCAATGTTTAGATTAAGAGAGGTGGGAGTATTAGAAATAGAAGAAATTATCAGTTCCCTTAAAAATAAGAGTTCGAGTGGGTATGATGAAATCCCTATATTTTTGTTAAAATCCATTAAAAATTAAATCAGCTATATTTTAAGTCATCTCATAAACTCATCATTTGTCTCAGGAGTCTTCCCCGATAAATTAAAAATTGCAAAAATTATCCCATTACATAAAAAAAATGATGTTAAAAATCCGTCAAATTATCGCCCATTATCCTTGTTACCAACATTTTCAAAAATTTATGAAAAAGCAG